ACAAATTGTCTGATAAATATGTCTTGATAGTACTTTATCATGTCTAGATGTACACTGTGAAATAATGAACCATTCACGTGAGTAGGTAAACTCGTTGGTATTGGTAGAGGTAAGAAACAGAACAGATGTGATTTATCATAAAATCCAAAGTTACTGGTATCATCATCCTGGTTGTTCTTTAAAACAGCTGTTCCAGCTATAGGAAGAAGACCTTTAAATTCTCTTCTTTTTGCTGCATTCACTACTTTATCTTTCCCAAAGCTCCAACTTATTAAATAAGTCAAAGTTTGTTCAATATGTGGTAATTCGAAATAGTCTTGTGCTGTTTCTGTTCTTTTGACTGATACCAAAATTTCAATTTCTTCTGATAATTGTGCAAGTTGACCGTCTTGGTGCTGGCTGTATTGGCTTGTCAATATCTTCAGAAATATTATCAGATGACTTGGTAACTTCCAGTATTGATTGTGCGTCATTTGGTTTGCCTCCTTTATGTAGATGATGAAGTTCAATTTTTCTTACATTTTGAGTGAACAGCAACAGATTTCCACACCCGTCTGCAATCTTTTGAATGAATTCCTTCATTTCATGTTTTGAGTAACAGAAGTCTTTTATCAAACTTTTAGCCGCTTCTGATTGGTTTCTAAGAGGGAATCTGAATAATGTTCCATTAAAGTCGACCTGTTCTTCCTTCAGAACTTTACATTGAAAGACTCCGTCAAATGGGTAAAACTGTCCTTTCATCTTCTGTCTCATTTTCCGATTTTTTGGTAATTTAATTTGATTTTTAATCCAGATTTCTGTAAATGAGTCTCATGAGGATCAAAGATAACATATGTATCACCAGAAATAAAGCTTGGTGTATCAGTTAGGTTGTAGACAGAATTAAACCCCAGCCCAAATCTACCAATTTTCATTTGATCATCTTTCTTTGTGGCTCCAGCTAACTTTGTTATATTCTCATAATCAGTGTCTGTAAATTTAGCATCATTTTATGCCCAGAATGCTGGTCCTTGTACAGGTTCCATACCTTCATCAAACAGACATTTCAGTGCTTCTGGCATGGTTCTCTCGTCATATTTGAAACGTCCAATTTGTCTAGGGTCTGATTTGTGTCATGCTCCTCTCTGATAATACTCAATACATTCAGCAACATTTGGTCGTTTTGTTCTTTCATGCATCCAAACTTTTCAAATAGACTTCGGTATTCCTTCATTTCAGGAGGCAGTAGATATCGGTATGGTTGTAGTGGTAGATCGTCCTTCTTTGCTGTACAGTAGACATAAGATGACTTTTGGAAGGTGGATCCAGTCCATACTATCTTCTGGTTTAGTATTTCGTCTGGTATTTTAAGTTTCAGGGAAGGGAGGGTTTGATTCTCCCAAATGTACAGGCCTAGGGTGGAGCAGACACTTTATTTAGAAATTAGGATTAAGGGTCTTGATATTGGGTTTTCTTCTGTTCTTATTCTGATCTGAAATTAGAAAAATAACTCGCCCGATGGGCGAGAAGTATAGTATCTGTTATGTACTGATTGTTTTTAGTTTACTATGAACAATATTATCATTTAAGTTCTTATTTTTTGAATATGCAACTATCATTTTCTGCTTATAGACATGGGGGAATTTCTCTTGAAGGCTCTTATAGTGGGCATGAACTATCTTGCTTGCTCGATTGCTGGTTGTATTAAACGGGACAACAAAGGGTGCTATGCCTACATTATGATGAATATTTAGTCCTATAGGTCTTGCTGTATTCAATGTCTCAATCCAA